GGCTCGCGGGGGACACGGGCACGCACGGATACACGGACACGCACGCACAGGCCGGTGCAAAGTTGCAGGGCTGGGGCTCAGCCGCCCCCCGGCCAGTGCCCACGCTGCTCCCCGCTGCGAGGCCGTGGGGCCCCGCACCCCCGGGCCCCGCACCCGGCCCTTCCCCGAGGGGGGCAACGCCAGGCAGGGCTGGCTCCACCCGGGCTTTTATTATGCCCGGCAGGACGGGGGCTTCACAAAGCGCGTGATGGTGCCCTTCCTGCCTCTTTTCTTTCTCCCCCACCTCCCTCCTTCCTTTCTTTTATCACTTCCTTTTATTATGCATGCCCAGGAAGGAAGGGGGGTGGGCTTGCCTTAATAGCAGGCCCGGGGGGCTTCAAAGCAGCCCCACGGCGGGCTCGTCCTAAGGAGGAGCCGGGCACATCCCTCGCACCCCTGCCGAACAGGCTCTTCAACTTCTGCTCCGCTCCTTCTTCCCCTCCTCCTCCCCCGTCCCGCTGCCAGGAGGTGCGGCGGGATCCCTCCCCAGCCGCAGTCGGCCTGGCTTTCCTGGGCGTGAAGGGATTTTTTATTTATTTATTTTTAAGATCTAAGCCACCGCCTGTCTCCCTCCTTCTCCTGGGCTGGTTTGTTTAATCTCAGAGTAGGTGGCAGAGCGGGGGATTTGTGGGGTTGTTTGCACGGAGCGGTGCCAGCCAGCGCGGGCGGGGGGCGGCAGGAGCGGGCCCCGGGGCACCCAGGAGCATCGCCCCGAGGGGCCAGGGTCGCTCTTCTGCAACCCAGCCCTCGCTTGTGCAAGCGGCGTCTGCTGAGAACGGCCCAGCTCGTGTCACGGAGCGGAGGGAGCCGATGGGGCTGGGGGAGGAGAGCCCGGCCGCTCACCATCCAGCGGGATGGAGAGGGGAGGAGTTCTGCATCCCCCAACTCCATCGATCGAGAGGCAGATGTAGCCCCTGCACCGCCGAGCCTTGCAGAGATTTATCCCTCCCAGCCTCGGGGAGCCCGGCCGTCCCCTGCCCTCGTCTCCGACTGATTCCTCCCTGCCTAGAAAGGTTTCTCTCTCAGCTGCTTCCTTTCCTCCATGGCAACACAGCTGCTCCCTCCCTCCTGTATGGCTTTGATGCAGGCGAGCGGGGCCGGAGCCGCTTCCCGCGGTGTGCCCAGCACCATCCCGCCGGCTCGGGGGGCTCCCGCGGCCGGGCAGGGGCCGCCGAGCCGGGGAGCATCGTGCCGAGCCAGGCCGCCGTCGGGAAGAGGGGTGTTGGCTGGGAAGGGAGAGAGGGTGGGAGAGAGGAGCGTCCTCCGTCTCCCACCAGGGCATCCTCCTCCTCACCCCCCCGTGCCGGAGCGGGGCACGGAGCCCTCGGTCCCCCGGGTGGTTTCAGCTCTGGAGCCCCCGGGAGAGCTCGGAGGCGGCGGAGGGACGGGTGGGACGTGCACGTGCTTTCCCCAGCACCAACAACTTCGCAGCCGCAGGCTCTGTCGCGGGGGCCGTCCCCAGTGGCATCCCCACGGCGGCGAGGGTCCCCTCGGCATCCCCGGCCAGAGCTGCCGCGTGGGGCCCGTGCCCATCCCCGGTGGGGCGGCGGAGAGCGCGGCAGGGTGGGGGCCACGCTGGGCCCATCTGTTTCCAGCTGCGGGAGAGGGTACGGCGGGGCCGGGAGGCTGTGGTTCCTCTGACAAAGATGGACTTAAAAAGAGACAAACCCATCCCAGCCCCCGGTCAGCTGGCCGGCATTTTTCTTTCCAAAATCTAAACCATGCCTTTTTTTTTTTTTTTTTTTTTTTTTTTAAAGAGACTCCTTGAAGGGCTCTGGGATGCTGTGAGTAATATTGTCGGGGTGTTTACACGACAGCATGGTTTCTGTCTCACAAAAAAAGAAAAGAATCTGAGGGTGGGTTTTGTTGTTGTTGTTTTGCACTCGTGAGTCACTTCCAGAGGGGAGCAGGAGCTGACGCCTGTTTTTTAAAAAGCCTCGAAGCTCTGAGCGTGGCTCCTCACACCGCACATCTCGCCCGCGCCCGCTCCGGCCGCCCCGATGAGGCTGAGCATCCCCGGGGGACTCAGCACCCCGGCTGCCCCGCTTTCCCCCGTAGCACTGTCCTGGCTGCCCCAACACTGTCCAAATTGAAACCAGTTGCTCAAAACTAAGAGGTATTAACCCTGGAGACAGAGGTAGGGAGAGCGCCTCCGTCTTTGCACGCAGGCCGGGCACACAACCTTGTACCTGCAGGAGAAGCTGTGCTGGGGGGCTGCCACGCTCCAGAGACGTGGGTCGGACCCAGGGCAGGGATGCAGGGCATCGTCCCCAGTGGCAGAGGTGGCCCGGTGGGGTTGCAGCACCCAGCCCAAAGCAACACCATGATTTTCTAGCCAAGTCTCCTAGGCAGCTCCAAACCCTGCGCTTACGGGAAATGAGACTGGGATGCTGCTCTCGCGGCCCTGTTTCTGCTGGAAAACATCCCATCACCGCCTTGAGCAGGTCCCCCCCTCTGAATGGCCATGGTCGCCCGACCGAGGAGCAGAGCAGGTGCACTGTGCTCGGGGTCCCCAGTAAGCACCAGGGCTGTGGGAGCAATCCTGCTCCTCTCCAGCCCGGAGCCCATTCTCCTGGCTCCTGGGCTGAGAGCTGAGTGTGGAACCGGCCCCGCTGCTCTGGAAAAGCAGGTTTTCCCTATGCCCCTGGGAAAGCATCGAGGTGGAGAGGGGAAGATGGAGCCTTTTCCTCTCTGGGATTTCCCCATGAGCTAGGAAAGCCATCCATCCCTTTGGGACGTGCACAGGGGAGGGGACAACCCAGCGTCCCTAGGACAAGTGCCAGGTGGTGCCAGTCCCTAAACCCACCCAGGGTGGCAGGAGCAGGGTCGGGGTGCAGCATCCCGCCCTGGGTGCGGCAGTGCCGGGTGTCGAGGCAGGGTGGGGGGAGCAGGGCTGTGGGAGCCTGCGCCACCCTTCCAGGGCCCTGGGACCCCCGCGGGGATGCCCAGAGGCCCCTGGTGCTGCTCCTCTTGTTCCAACTTGCCGGTGCCGGCAGCATGTCTGGGATTTCAAGGACTCCAGATTAAATCTGGAGCTGCTCTCCTCCTTTTGGAGAACGGGGACAGGCTCTGTGGGAAGGGGTGGCCAAGCTGCTGCTCCCCAAATGCCTGCTGGGGACCCCAGGAGCTGCCTTAGCACCGGGGCACTGGCTAATTCAGTGGGGCGTCCGTGCCGTGGGCTTGGGGCAGGATCCCGCGGGGCAGCCTGTTCGTTTTGCTCCCCAGCCAGTGATGGGAGGATGCAGGTTGCATCCCTGGGAGGGATTCAGCTGCAAACCCTCCCTGGGGGAAGGCAGGGAGCGGGGACGGGGGAGACGGGGAGGTCTGAGCACCCAGAGCCTCACCCAGCCAGCACGAGAGAAGCAGCCGCCACGTGGGGCTGGTCATTAGGGCCACGAGAGCGGGGAGCGGCATTGGGGTCCCATTGCTTCAGACACGTTGCTCCATCCCCGTGCGTCGGTGCTGGCCTGGGCTCGTTGCACCAGGGCATCGCTGGGGAGCGGCTGTGCAAGGGGACGCGCAGCAGGCACCGGTGCAGGCCAAAGGTCTGTTTGCAGAAGGGACACGGGTGCAGCAGGGGCGGTTTTGCAGATACCAGCTTTGCAGCAGTGCGAGGAAGGGTCACGCCTGCCCGCGGTGCTCCACGTTTCTGGGGCAGGAAACCCCTGCGCGCCGTGGCTTGGTGCTGCTGAATGGGCTCGGTGGCTTAAAACATAGAAGCAGGGGTCTCTTCTAGGCATAGCTCTTAGCGATGCTTTTGGTTTCTCCCCCACGGGCCTGCCAGCCCCGGCAGTGCCCTGGGCACAGGCTGGTCCCCACTGTACACCAGGAGAGGAGCAGGATGCGGGCGAGCCTCTGGGAAGGGCTGGAATAGGGCAGAAGTTGCTCATTTCAGCTGGATTTTAATTCTAGAGGCATTCTTGGGGGGGGACCCTAGTCCTTGTCACTGCCTGTCCTTGCTGATACCCCACTGGTCACCCCCTTCCCCACAGAGGGGCCAGGCAGCAGCTGGGGGGGCCGAGCATCCTTAGCCGGGCAGCAGGGGCAGGGGCACGGCCACGGCCGGGCTGAGCCCACGGGAGGCTCCAGCAGCTCCGCTCATCCCTCGCAGCCCTGTGAGTCACTTCCGCGGCCCCAGCGCCTGCCTGCCGCCGGGGCGAGGGCTGCGGGGAGCGGCACCGGCCAGCGTGGCCATCACTGACCAACCTTCCTCCTCCTCCTGCTCTTCCTCACCACCGCTGGTAGGACGATGAGCGAATCCGGCGCCAAATCCAGCCAGCCCCTGGCCTCCAAGGGAGAGAAGGACGTGTCGGAGAAGAGGGGCCGGGGGCGGCCCAGGAAGAAGCCGCAGGTATGTGGGGTCCCCTGGGAGGAAGGGGGGGCACCCCACTGGCCAGCTCTGCCCGCAGCAATGCCCTCGGGGGCTGGGCACCCCCGGGCTACGGGGCAGCAAGAACCCCCCCCTCGCACCCCGGCAGCACCCCCCGGGCAGGGGCCAGGGCTGGCACGGTGCAGCCCCGTTACCTCCCTTCGGGCAGCAGCTCCCAGGTGCTCACCGGCAGCAAGTCCCTCCTGGGGGTCCTCACAGCCCCCCCAGCTCTGCAACACCCCAGAGCTCCTCCTCGCCCAGGGAAGGGCTCGGGGCCTCCCTTGCTCCTCCCCAGGCTGCAGCTGAACCTGCTTTTGCAGACAGGCTAATTAAAGCCCCATTAGCAAAAGCTGCTCAGAGGGATAAGATGCTGCCAGAGCCTTTGCGATGCCAACGCCCCCAGCTCTCCCCCAGGGCAGGTGGGGGTTCTGCGCATCATTTTCCTGCAGAAAAGGCCATTTGCTGCTTCCCTGCCTCTTTGCCAGGCAGTGGCACCGCCAGCGAGCCGGGGTCCGGGGCTGAGAAACCAGCAGGGACCTTCCGGCTAAGCTGAGCGATTAATGCCGGGGTGGGACGGGTCACGTACGCTGAAGGACACACAGGAGCCTCTACCTGGTGCCTGACCACCAATCCCAGTGCAACCAGTCCTCCCAGTACCACATGCAAGAGCATCCCTGCCCCGGCAGGGTCTGCTGGGGAGAATGGGACTCCCAGCCCGGAGCATCCTGGGGTGCACCGCTGCACCGGGAGCCACCCTGGGCATGCATCCCTCCCCAGGGACTCCCCATCCACAGCGACCCCTCCTCTGCTCTCCCTCCAGCAGGAGCCCAGCGAGGCCCCGACCCCCAAGAGACCCCGCGGACGGCCGAAGGGCAGTAAAAACAAGGCCACCCCGAAAGGCAGGGTAGGTGGCTGGGGACAGGGGCTGCTCCGGCCAAGCAGCCGTAACGGGTCCGTTTTGAGCTCAAGTACAGACAATTCAGGGCAGATCTGCCCCTGGGAGGGGGGGGCCCAGTGCTGGCCCCCAGGGAAGGTCGGAGGGGAGCCAGGGACCGCATGTGTCAGCGTGCGGACACACACGATAAACCTGTTTGCAAAACATGCGACTCACATCCTGCGCCCGCCTCGTGAGTCACGGGCCAGGGCTGTCCCACGGTGCTGGAAGCCGGTGGCGAGGGGGCCGGGGGGGCCTGGCTGCAGCCCCGGGGCCACCTGGGTGCAGCGGCCTGGGAGATGCCACTGGGGTGATGAATCTGGCAGTCGTGGCTGGGAGGAAGGGGAATGCCGCCCGCCCGCCCCGCAGCATCCTGGGGACGAGGGGATGGCCCCAGCCTGACCAAGATGTCTTTTCTTGTTCAGAAAGCTGCAGTCACACCAGGGAGAAAACCTCGAGGCCGACCCAAAAAATCGGTGAGTAGGCTTTTCCCTTCCTCCTCCATCCTGGCGGGGTGCTGGGCGCTCTGGGGGCACGGCAGCCCCCTGGCTGTCCCCACAAGTGTGGGGGAGATGGTGCTGGGCTGGAGGAGAGCAGAGCAGTGAGCAAAAAGGGGACATGGCGTGGCATGGGACAGGTTTTCAACCTGGCCGTGCCATGCCCCGGTGCCGGTGCTGCGGGGACTGAGCCGTCCCGGCTCCCCCATCTCCCCGCGGCCCCGGGAGCGGCACGCAGGAGGCGGCTGGTCCTGCCTCGGTGGCGTGCTGGCACACCCCCTGCCCGGCCGCCCGCTGCGTCACCCCGGTGCAGCTCCTGCAGCCTGTGTGCACAGCAACCTCCCTCTGCTCCCATGCACTATGGCCACCCTCTCATTTTGTGTTTTCCCTCCTGTGTTTCATTCCTCTCCCTTCTCCCCCCTTGGTTTGCAGCCCCACGGGAGCTCAGGCGGCTGCCGGGTGCCCATGGGCATCACCCGGTTGGGAGCAAGTTTCATGTCCCTCCCTGGCGTGTACATCTCACAGTCCCCAGTCCATGTCCCTGCACCCATGAGCTGCCACCAGGTGCTGGGACACAAGAGCCACGCACGAGCATCCTCAGGGTGCAGCTGCCCTGCCCCGTGTGGGGTTTTGCCCCTTTTCCCACGTAAACTCCTTGGCGAGGGGCTGAGACCAGCCAGGACTGCAAACCAGGGGTGGCAGCCTGGGGCCTCCTGCCCCGGTGTCACAGCACCAGGGGCTGTTTGGGGGACCCCAGGGTAGGGAGCCGCGTCGGTGGGGTGGGACCGAGCCCATCCCATGGTGGCGGGGCTGTGCCAGGGACACCGTGTCCCGCTTTGGCAGCCGCCGGCCACAGTGGCTTTTTTATGAATACGTGCAGGGCCGGACACGGACACCGGCACCCGCTCCTGCCACCACCTGCAACCCCCCGGTGGCAACAGGGGACACGGCAGTGGCGCTGGGCACCTCTCACACCTGCGGGGCGTGCGTGCCCCCAGGGCGTGCGGCTGCCCCCTGTGAGCCCACCGGGGGGTTCTTACCTGGGATTTAACCCGTAATGGTTAAACCTGGAGCAAGGGCCAGTCCCCAAAGCCAGGAGGGTGCTGGTGCCTCAGTTTCCCTCTTTGCACAAGGGGTGCGATGTGCCAGGCCAGCCCTTCCTCCAGGGACGATGGGGGGTGTCTGCAGCCCCCGGCACCCCCCGACCACGCTCCCTTGCCTCGCAGCAGCAGGACGAAGAGGAGGTGAACATTTCCCAGGAATCATCTGAGGAGGAGCAGTGAAAGCTCCCGAACCAGCGCTACCTCATCGCCCGACGGTCCCGCGTCCTCGGCAGCCGGGGGCAGAGGGACGGGGAGAAACCCACTGCGCCGCCCTGGCTTTTTCCTCCTCCCTCCTCCGCTCCTTCCTCACCCTCAGACAACGGCAGCACTGGAAAACGGCCCAACCCGGGCGGCCCCCGCCCCGGCTCCCCCCTCTCCCCAGCGCTGGGTTTCGGGGCAGCCCCACTGGCCAAGGGGGGGCCTGGCAGAGCCGGGGCTGGGACCCCCCCGCCTTTGCAGTGATCACACCCATCCAAGCGGGTGCTGGTTACCCCCCCCAGCACCGGGCTTCGCCCCGGGGCCTCTGCAGGGAAGATATTGGGGGGGGTCAGCAAAGGCGAGACCCCCAAATGCATTAAACCTTTGCTCTGGCCTGCTGCTACCCTGGGCAACCCCCTCCTCGTATCCCCCTTCCCGGGCAACTGCACTGTGTGTAGGCGAGCGGCTCCCGCGGCGAGGCCGGGGCTCAGTGCCCGTCCCCGGGGGTGCCCGAGCGGGGCTGGCTCGGGGCAGCCCTTTCCTCATAGGTTCTGGTATATATATATATTTTTTTTAGTACTTTTTTTTTCCTTTCATTCACAACTACCTCTGGATATTTAAGTTCCACTCTCTGAACTCACAGACGTGCTGCTGCTGTGCCAGCTGCCGGGGCATCGTTGGCTCAGTGTTTCCTTTTTCGGGGTGTCGCTGGGGGCTGTGGGGTATTTTTTTCCCTCCCCTTTTTTGGGCTTTTTCTTTTTTTTTTTTTTTTTTTTTTTTTTTTTTTTATTGTTATTTTAAGGCCTAGGTTGCTCTGCTGTTGCAAGGGGTAGAGGATGGCAGGGCGGTGGGGTGGGGGGACCGTGGAATGCTCCCCCCGCCGCACCGCTCCCCGTGCGGCGGCTGCAGCTTGGGTTTTTTTTGGTCCACTGTTAACGACCTTTGGGTTTCCTACTTGCAGTTACTTGAATAAAACGTTTTATGGATGTTTGACGCCTCTGCCCTGGACTCTGGCTGGGGTCCAGCCCCGGGAGCGGGGTGGGAGCTGGTCTTCTCCATGCAGGGAGAGCCCGCGGGCACGGAGTGGCTGCTCCGCAAGGTACCTTCTCCGCAGGGACATCCGTGATGGTGCCAGCCATCCTCCACGGGGACAGACAGGAGCTGCCGATGGAAACAGAAACAGGCAAAACCCCGCCACCCCCCACCAAGCTCCCACCCTGGGCGCCTTTTTATTACCAAACCGAGTCACGACGCTGCCGAGGCAGGGACGCGTGATGCTGAACCCCCGGCATCGGGCTGGCCCGCGGTCCGGCAGCTGAAAACCCTCTCTGCCCAATGCGGGAGGCTCTGGGCCGAATGCAGAGAAACACATTTATTCGCTCTCACATGCGCCGCGCCGCTCCTCTGCGTCCTGCCCTCCAAGACGCGGCAGAGCCCCGGAGCCCGGCTGCTCTGCTGCCAGGGTGCCAGCCCCGGCCGTCCTGCTCGGTGCATTTTAAGGCGCTGGCAGGGCGGTTCAAGCGAAAAAACAGCAAAAATAGGTGCCAAGGTGGGAGATAACCCGTTATCGTCGGTGCTCATGGGGTGGGATCGCTCCCAGGCAGCGGCCGCTGGCATCGCCACGCTACTGCGGGCGCATCCTGCCCTTCGTGGTGGACGACGAAGGCAGCAGCGCCGGTGCTGATGCCGTCCTTCCTCCCTTGCCTCCTGCGGGCAGGATTCGGTCCCAGCTCCCCGGGCAGCGTCA